AACAAACAAACAAACAAACAAACGTTTTGAACACTCCGGCGATATCAGACTGATACATTTGAATGCATGCATTCTTTAATTCTAAACACTATGTCGTTTTTTTATTCTCACTCAACAACAGCCGAATAATTATAATCATTTCCATCGTTGGCTTTCAGTTCTTCGTGCCATAGGGATCCCAACTCGTAGCGTCACTAACTTTGAGTCGGCACATGACACTGACCAAAGCATGACCATCGATTTTCATTTTGATGAAGAAGACAATCCAATACACACAATGAATGAATCCGTATGGTAATTATAAATYATCATTATCGTCTATGCCTGTCTGGGTTGACACCTAGGATTTTATGGTTATCCTTTGTGTACGTTTCCATAGCAATAAGAAATATGTAATGGGGTTGCTGACCCCATGCACGTTGAAAGAGCCCTGTTAGCCAGCATTACCACCTTAGTTATAAATACCTTGATAAATTATGGTACTTTATATACGGTCTTTTTAGTATCTTTATCATCTAAGATTCCAATAAGTTTGTTATAAGAGTTGCGCATTGATTGAATTGATTTTTCTCAGGAACTTCCATGTGTGGAACGAGTCGTATTTCACTCGTCCAGATATTCCGCCTGGCTATGATGGCTGGCAGGCACACGATGCCACACCACAGGAGGTCAGTGATGGTACGTATAAAACCTGTGGCATGGGTGTATGTATATCATTTCTCTTGCCTTTCTTGCTCGAATCMTTCTCTTAAGCTGAGAGCCACTTCTGATCTTTTTTCAAGCCGTTATTTGTCCGCGCTTTTTCTCGTGTGATCTGATTACGACCCTAACTTTAGAGATGACATACTTCTTTTACAACTTTGTACATCCTTCCATTTTTTGCTACATCTGTTTATGGTAGAAAAACAAACGTCTTTTGAGTCCTTCTCAATAACACGCGCGGAGTGGTCGTTGCAACAAGGTAGTTTTTAGTGGACGTCAATCAAGGCATTATTTCATAGCAACAACYTAGGCCTCTTGAAAACCTTGTGTTTTCAGACAATGTCCGGCATGCAAACGTTGATTGACTTCCACCAAAGTCCTAYTTTGTCGCGACAGCAAATTGTACGATTCCGTGCGCGTGCTCTTAAGAACGACTATAACAAGGCAATAAAATTCGCGTTCTGTACCTTGATGAAGGTGTGTATCAGTGTGGCCCATGYCCTCTTAAAGCCATCCAAAGTGGAGAGGTATACCTACCTTACGACACAGGATTCGTGTTTGCTGAAGTCAACGGTGACAGGGTCTACTGGCAAGTAGACGCAGAAGGGGAAATGTCCGTATCTGTGATAGATAAAAAAAGCATTGGGAAATCCATTAGCACTAAGGCTGTCGGCACTAACGAGAGAGAGGATCTCACCAATATGTACAAGTTTCCTGAGGGTAAGTTTAAATTAAAACCATGCGGCCCACCAATTAAAAGTGAGTTCCCTACCTTGTCTGTGCGCTATGGCAATTTTATTTAAAGCATTTTTTACAATAACTTACGAATTTCGCGCGCGCTGATTGGTTATTTTTTATCATCAATAAGAGGACAGACAGATAAAGCTGACGTCAATGGAGCGCGCTCTCCTTCCGTTGGTTGTTTTGATCGCTAAAAATGAGAAGATTTTATCGTTTTTGTTATTGTAAAAAACTACGCCTCGTGGATCCACACTACTTTGACAATGTGATGACGCAATTTATCGTCAATAAGAGGACAGACACATAAAAAACTGATGTCTATTTGTTAATTGATAGAGTATTTTTTAGGGGATCTCTGGCAAGATCCTGTTAGCTTTTTCCGGTATCTATTTATTGCAGGTATCCGCTAAATCTAACACAGTTCAATTCAAATTCGATGCGCCCAGAGGTTCAGTCTTCGATCTGTGAGTTAGTCATGCCCTGACTTAGATCAGCCCAGAGGTTGTTTCAGGGTTCAATCTGTGAGTTAGCAGTGCCCTGACTTAGATCAGCCCAGAGGTTGTTTCAGGTTCGATCTGTGAGTTAGCCATGCCCTGACTTAGATCAGCCCAGAGGTTATTTCAGGGTTTGATCTGTGAGTTAGCCATGCCCTGCCTTAGATCAGCCCAGAGGTTGTTTCAGGGTTCAATCTGTGAGTTAGCCGTGTCCTGACTTAGATCAGCCCAAAGGTTGTTTCAGATTCGATCTGTGAGTCAGCCGTGCCCTGACTTAGATCAGCCCAGAAGTTGTTTCAGGTTCGATCTGTGAGTTAGTCGTGCCCTGACTTAGATCAGGCCAGAGGTTGTTTCAGGGCATATATAAAATATTAAAGGTGCTCCTCGATCCTTGCAAGGCATTATATAAAGTTTGTCAGTAATAATAATTACGATAACACAATAAATAATTATAAATAATGATTAAAAATCATAGGAAGCCACAAAGAAAGAAAGGCCGTTCAACTCGCAAACAAATATAGCTCGAGCAAAGACAAAGACATCTACTCCACCGAAACCTCGCACGATGTTGACTTTAAGGTATTAACGAGTGAGGAGGTGACTATTGGAGAAAACTTCGACATCAAGTTGGAAATCAAGAATAAGTCTTAAAAGTTTTAAAAGCGTATTAATAGGGTACTACAACGCACACAAATCTACTTTAACACTTTAAAAATTTAGAATGGTTTTTGATGGTTTTCACTTGACGTCATTTCCTGTAGAATATTCATCAGCTGAATCNGAGGGGGGAGGGAGGGATAGGGAGATAAGCCACTTCCACGGGCAACTCTCTGTTTGGAATTCTTTTGTTATAATTGGGAGTCCTATGATAAGATTATCGTTTGAGTCCTGGGTCTAGGAAAGAAAGAAGGGGGAGGCATAGGGAAGAAAGCCACTTTCGCAGTCAAGTCTCTACTAGAGATTCTATAGAGAGTCCTATTCTCTTCTTCCTTTCCACCTTCCCGCTAGCCCGTACCCTTAATTTTACCTCTTCGCCAATCTTCCTGGTCATTCCTGCCCGATCCACAGGGTTCGCAATGCCCAAATCCCAAAATGCCCAACAAAGGTTAATTTTATCTTTAGGAAACAAATGAAACCTCGCGCAAAATTTTCCATACCCGTGAACATGGAATACACCCGACAAGGAACGCGTTACATTGAAGCAGTCTTCCACTCAGATCAATTTTCTGGGATTCGTGGAGAATTTCGTATCAAGATCGTGAACCCCTCACTGTAATCGTTGATAGTTAAAAAAGCCGTTAGTTTTAGAAGCGTATTAATGGGGTACTATGCACACAAATCTACTTTAACACTTTAACAATTGAGCATGGTTTTTGATGGTTTTCACTTGACGTCATTTCCTGTAGAATATTCATCAGCTGAATCACAAGTTTTCAATAGTGTCACAGTAATGCTTTGCAAGAGAACGGGGCTGCCGCGTGACGTCATAGCCGCCATTTTGGTTGATCTTGACAAAAGATTGTTTTGTGTGGTTCTTTTTTTTTTTTTTTTTTTGTAATATTAAGCGCAACAAGGTGGCCATTTATGTATGCCACTAACACCCCAGAACAAGATTATTAGATGTCTTGTTGTTCTGGCATGATATTCGGTATATACTGAATGTGGAGTTCAGTGTTATCCGCAGAAGTTGTATGCCGGGGCTGAAGGCATTTAATAGAAGCTTGGTAATTCCGGATATTATAAAACCTCTAMCAAAAAATGTTTTGCTTTTCGGAATAAGCTGAAAATTATTAGATTACCAGCTTAYCAGAAAGTGCATAGCGATTGGATACTACTTAGCTTTATTAACTTTGTATTTTRATAAGGTCTGACTTCCTGTTTGCATGTGTTTACAAAAGGTTGCGAATGGTCATAAACAGCAACTCGCGTGGGGAGGAGATAAGAGGGGGAAAATTTGAAAATCGTGTAATGCTTCCAGCGGTTCGAAAATCATATATTTCMCCACTATTAAATAGGTCATAAAGTATTCATGGCCGTGCTCTCAAATAATGTAAGGAACTTTCCAAATAGGCTTTGAGGAAAGACCCTTAATTCTTGAATTCTCAGCCTGATGCCCCCACCCCTCCCCTGTTAGTTAATGACCAGACCCAGACAGACCCAGATAAAACAATCATTCCTATTGGTTAGTTTAGATAACAAAAAGCTTGGGGCTGACCTTGTAATAAATCCACCGTATACTAAGTTACTGCGGTATTTTTTCTTGGAATTCTCTGAGTCTTCACTCACTATAAAGGCGTCGTC